CCTTTCCATTATCGTCAATAACTTTCAGTTGATTTTGCTGAGCATCAACAACTTTTGCACCAATGTCAACACCAAATTCACCCTTTTTGTCTGATGGAAGCCAGACATATTGACTCTAAATTAAATTTAAATTTCTAAAAGTTCCTCATTCTTTTAAAATTAACAAAAAATTCAGAAAACAATTAAAAAACTCATTTTATTTATCACCCACCGTTGTCATCGTTGTTTTTAGAGAGTTCAAATGCAATAACTATTTCCAAAGTATAGTTGTAGTACTAGTTTCTATAAATACAAAAGAGGAAAAACTAAATCGAATATTTAAGTCAGATAGAAGAATGATATAAAAAACGCGGTCATGCGGAAATTACACGTTTATATTAATCAAACGTTGATCGGTGTGTCTGTTTGTTTTGTTTCCCATACTCTTACTCATATGTCTAGTTTTCAAAATATTGATGATCAATTTATTAAAAAAATTAGCAAGGAAGAATTTTCGTTACACGGCCAGAGATTAATAATCAATTGATGTTGTTCGGGTAACTAAACGATGCATACTTGTTGTTTCTCAAAAATTTACTTCAGAAGTAATTAAGTATTGCATAAATGAACTTTATTGATTGTCAATATTGAAAAATGTATCGAAATACTTAAATTCTGAGGTTCTTATATTATGAGAAGCAAGTCCATCTCTCTTTCTTACTTCGAAAAAGTCAATAACCAGATATATATATAGCAGATTTGATTACAACCTTTAAAAGAACGGGGGTCGAGAAGAGACAAAATCGTCCCCCTCTGAGATCAAGCTCATATTCACAAATCCGATGTAGTTTTTTTGCGTGATTAAAATTAGCATCTCAAAAAAACCATTTTCAACCCCCCCGGAAAAATTCCGCATCCAAACTTTTCTCCCCTTAAATGAATTTGATTTCGAATATTTTCCCCATTTCTTCTCTTTGCCGAAAGCAAATCTCAATTACTGTTTTTCTAACAAAGCTAGAGACTTGGGATTTTCACCATTCGGTTCAGCTTGCTGAGCTCTATAAAATACGAGATAGGTCTCATCACTGACGTAAAAGGTCGATGTAAATAGTGGTCGGTTTTATATGGATTTAGCCTATCCGTCGATGGCGAAAACATCACTCTACAGTAGTATTTCTAGTGTTAGGGCACCCACGCCCCATTTATTCTCAATATTATATATATCATTCTGTAGCCTGTGAAATTCTCTATCGAATGATGTACAGTCATTGAGGTTTGCTTTCGGCTGCTTTTTCGGTTCGATATGCTTCAGCCGATATGCTTTCGAGTGGTGTCGTTTAAGGGAGACTCCCCATTTAGATTTTCCTCTAACGTTCCTAGTTTGTAGAGGATACTTTGAAGTATATGTCCTGAAGTTTTATCGGCTTGCTGGCATTATTTGGCTGAGTATTTTGAAGCAAAACCCTGGATACAAAAGTTGTTCAAAACCGAATTCTGGAGTCCCTCACGAGAGCTATTTTCAAAATTTTCTTTTTTTGGTTTTTGAATTAAATTTTGCGCTTTTTAAAATTTTAAAAGATAATCCATCTTGTAGTCCGTGAAATTCTCTATCAAATGCGATATTGCTTGAATTTTTTTGTTGAGTTATTTTACAAATGGCACTTTAAGCTAGTCGAGTAGACTAAATTTACGTTAATTAGCACTAATTAGTTAATAACAGAAAGGAAAGAACAAAACTTTTTGCATATTTTCTCGTAGTAAATGTTCTCTACACATTTCTCTAGCGATCTAAGCAAGAACCAAGCTTTTATGATGGATGGAGAATGGACCGGAATGTTTTTAATAATAGATCCTTGTTCAAAACTTTACTAATATATTTTTTTTAAGTAATATATTTTTTTCTCAGCCAAATAATGCCAGCAAGCCGGTTTTGAAAGAGGTTCAAACACTCGTCGAAACCGTTTATATTATTGAAGAGCTCGACCCGCGTCAGATATTTAATAGTCTAAAGTTGTTTGAGGCTGTGAACAGCATGTAAGACAAAAAACGCAAAATAATGTTACTGTTGTGTACCAGCATTCTATGCTCTTCTAGATTTATTATAGTTAGTTAGATATATTATATAAGAATAGATAATAGTATCGTCCAGAAAAAAACGGGTAACACATTAAAGATCCAGGCATAATGCATCAATTAAAGTTAGAAATAATAACCATACAAGTACTTTCTTTTTAGGGAATAATGGGGACTGAAAATGTAGCATCTTAATTAGAAAAAATACGCATCATTACCGATGGTACTTCATTAAAGATGTAGGTATTGTAGTTCGTTTTTAGTCTGTCAAACAATCTCATATAGTACACGATATGACAAAAAGATACATCAATCTTCGTCGAGTACCAATAGCTCAAGAGTATGTTTTTAAAAATATATAATTTTTCAATAAGATAGAAAAGACTTCTAAAAGCGACGTGTTTTCCTTCACTTTGGCGCTAAAACATTTTCGGGAAACGTACGAAATCCCAAACTTTTGACGGTGGTTCTGTATAGTACTCTACGTGTACTATCCATTGCAACTAGTCTGACTTCATTGTAGCTAGAAACCTCGGAGAACCATGGATCACAAAAGTGCTCCATGAAGCTCCATTTCGTTCTCTGTTAATGTGTGGGATAAGAGTTGTAGGTAATATTTGAATATCAACATATAGCAGACATTTAGTATTATATATCCTAAAAGAATCTTGGTTTTATCTCCTATCGTTTGCAAGATAAACGAAATTTACGTTTTATGCCCATGTAATTTCTCTTCACTCATCTCGAGAAATTTTCATATCTACTGAACGAAAACACTTGGGAGGTTTAAAACTTAGGTTTTCCAGTATGCTCTACAAGATAAGATTACTTAGAAAAAAATCTGAGATGGTTATTGAGCATGATCTTTCGTGGTTTACGTGCAATGACTCCTAAACTATCGAATACGACCTTTCTTTTGACGCTAGAATGAAGTCTTTTCGTTTCTTCCTCACTGAGATATAGGGAAAACAATACGTGATAATTTCGCCTGTCACAGCGTTACCAAAAGACGTTTTTTTAAAAATTTTAGTAAAGGACATTCACAATTTCATTTTAAAAAATAGTAGACTGTACTCAACTTTTCACGACGATTCTAATGCACTACTTTTTTCCTAAAAAACTTGCATTTGGAGGCAGATAGTGGTAAAGCTGTGACAAAAAAAAAGCTGCAAAACCAGTACCGAAAACTCTAAAAACTCATTCTATTAAAGTTGTTGATAAAAATACTCTTAAATGTCGTTATTATTCAACAAGCTTAAAGAAGAAAACCGTAAAATACTGACAATAGATTCTTACCGTTGTTAGTTAGGTGGAGAAGAATAGGTTCGAGGAAGACGCAAAACACGGTTTTTAGTTGTGAAAGTCGAAAAAATATCTATCTCGAGGCCTAAAAAGTCTATTCAGTCAGATTCTAACCGATTTGCAGTGAGAATACCCAAGAAAAAAAAGTGTGTCATAGCGTTACTTTAATAAATTAGGTTTTATAAACTAAGTAAAGGGTTCTGAAAAAAACGTTTTTTAGCAAAAGAAACCTCCTTAGCTCCTCTATTACGCTCAAGACACTTTTTATTAGCTCTTCTAAATTCGCAAATAAGGAGTAGTTAGAATTTAGAGCCTTTTTATGTCACAGCGTTACCGGTCTAAAAATGTTCTCTGGAACCTCGAGTCTTTAACAAAAAATCTTCGTTTTTATACTCCAAGTAGAGTAAGAAGAGCCGCGCCGAATGGAGCAAAAACGAACTTTCTAGCTCTAATAGCTTTCGAGAAAACCTCAAATTAGTGTCCGAAATGTCACAGCGTTACCTTTGGACAAGCCGTGCACCAATTAAAAACTGGTGTTAGGGCTTCCACATAAATTGTTATAAGGTGCCTATATAGAATTATTCAGAGTTGCGCAACCTCTCATTTTGTAGAGAAATGTTCGCTCTTGCGTACTTTTCTATGAAAAAAAAGGTTGCGCAACTCTGAATAATTTTTTATGGGGCCACTTATAACAATTTTTGTAGAAGCCCTAACACCAGTTTTTAACTGGTGGTACAAGATTAACGGGTTGGGTAGAGAAAATGATACCACTTTACAAAAAATTTTCTCAAGTTAAACTAGATCAGAAAACTTCATTTTTATGTCAAAGAGATAAAGAATTGTGTGCAGATTTTACTCATAAGTTGTTTTAAAAATAAGCATTTCCCATTCTTTTACAACAGTAAAAATACTCGAAGCCACGAAAATCTCAACTGCTCAATCAGAAAAATTCGAATGCAAATTTTTTCTCCTTAAGTATGTTGCAAAAATTTCGTTCAAGGCCTAAAAGACGCAGAATTTTTCAGAGTATCTAGCTCTGTGCTATATCTTATACGCACTGAACTTTATAATTTATAATTTATAATTTCTTATATGCACTGAAATTTATAATTATTCCCTATCAACACCAGAACTGCTTAAATTTATTCATTCTAATGGAAAATATACAATGTCTCAACTATATAATCGAGATTTACGTTGTTGTTAGTTGTTCTCTTGTGTTTTATTGAGTAAAATTGGAAAAACATTTTTTTTGACTCTCCACGCGTGAAGAAGAATAAAGTTATACCATGAAAATGCGTTTCCGATTTTTTTATGCATTTTATGGAATTTTTATTCTGCATGTCTGACCTGAGCATCTAGCAACTCTGCTTCCGATCGCCAACTATATGCGCCCTCTGTCCTTAATGGAGAATTTTCTTTCGATTCAGTTAAGATAACCTAAAATAAAAATGAATCAGACCAGATGCGCTCACTTGTAGAAGGTGAGCTTTTATTTCCATTATCACACTATTATCTTGATTAATTGCTGGAGGATAATTCAAAGAGGTTATCGGCAAAGAAATGATTGATTGGTTTATAGACGAATTGAATAGCGTTTGGTTAGTTAATTTTTCTTTTATACCACATTTTAACCAACATCTATCTTTCAACATGTCAGATTCCTCATGATATCTAAAGGATTATTTTCCGCTAGCCGTCAAAGACAGCCGTCAGAAGCCACTTTCTAAATGAAAAGACGTAGAAAGTAACTCCTAACGGCTAGCGGCTAGCGGAAAACAACCTATCTAAACACAGTTTTTGGAAAAGTACAGGAACTTTTGTACCGTAATAGCAAAAAACGAATAGTTAAATAGTTTGTTATAGGCAAAGTTGTATATCTAAACTTATCTCAGATTGGATTAAAGTAGAACATATGTTTTCTATTGAATTCTCGGTGTTGGAACTGTTTTCTAGATATTTTTTGTCGTGTTGTTGTGAGGTTGACGATGTTTTTATTTCGCTCGTCTTTCTCGCGTATTCCATTACCGTCAGTCACCATAACTACGTTCCCGTTCCGAAGGAAATTGTCGCAAATGAATTTAAAAGTCGAAGAACATGACCATTTAAATAATACATTGAAAATAGTTCAAAATGATCTTCAATTAATACATAATGATATATCACAAGTGAGTATTTTCTTGTTGAGAATTTTCCTTAATTCCATTCTAGATATATATTTTCTCATGGCTTCTTCATCAGATGAAACGTACGAAAGTGTTGGCCTCGTCAAACCAGAGGTTTATGTCTATGTAATACCGCCGCGTCAATCAACAACACGTAAACATCGTGCAGCTGACTGGAAATTAGACCAACCAAATTTTATTTGTCGTTTAAAAGTCATATCCAAAGCTGATCAATGTCTTATTCGTTTAGAAGATCGAAATACAGGTCAACATTTTGCCACATGTCCAGTTGAATCTTACCCGTCGATAGCAGTTGAGAATGTCGAAGATTCTACAAGATATTTTGTTATTCGTGTTCAAAACGATAATGGTCAACAAGCATTTCTTGGCATGGGTTTTAATGATCGTAGTGATTCATTTGATTTTAATGTCGCTTTACAAGATCATTTTAAATACTTAAAACAAGCAAAACAAATTGAACAAGAGCAAAAACATCCTGAACAGGTCACTGATCGACAACCAAAATTAGATTTGAGTTTCAAAGAAGGACAGACAATAAAAATTAATTTGAAAAGTGGCGCAACGGGCAATGAAACAGAACGTAAATCAGCAGTTCAAAAGAAAAATGTAATTAATAGCGGAGATAACAATATTGCCCTACTACCACCACCACCTGGTTCAACAATTCCAAAACTCACACCACCACCAAAAGCACCAACATCAGTTACTATGCCAGTAGCAACTGAACAACAGCCGAAACAGGAAGTTATTCCTCCATCAACTACAAACAACAATTCGAACATTCATTCTGATCTAAGTTGGATGCAATTTTAAAACACAGTAATTCCAATAACCTTGTTCCAATTCGATTTATTTCTAATTTTGTAAATATAGTGAGTGATTTTTTTTGCCCAAAACTTTAATTTTATAGAAAAAAAAATATTTTTACATTGTATGTTTGTCTTTTAATTTAACTTTTCTTTAATGTTTAAATATATATATATCTATGTATTTATTTTAAATGACGATAAAAATGTACCTAGCAAACAATTTTAACGCAAGATTTCTTGTTTATTTCTTGTTTTTCTGTTTTCACTTTAAAGCATCTTGGCTGCGCTGAAAAAGAATTATATGAAATTTCAAAATATCATTTTGATGAAAAAGGAAAACTCATACGACCGATTATTATTTGTACAATGGCAAGAAGTTTTAATCAACAGGAAACTAAGTAAGCAAATTGATTGGCTTAGGTGTGCAAATTTTTGCTCCTAATTACATGCAAATTACTAAATTGAATCATGCGATATTCATTTTTCATAAGAGAAAACTTTTCTGCTTTTTTGTCAGGTGTATGATAACGCTGCTTATACAAAAAAATAAAAGACAGAAGAATCTTCTATCATTTTGTTGTACTTTTTCTATTTATTTAGTTTTCTTCATGAAAATCAACGATGTGTAGCTACATTAGGCGAAATGATCCATACAGCTAGTTTAATACACGATGATGTTGTTGATTCAAGTGATAGACGGCGCGGTAAAAAAGCAGCAGCTACCAAATGGGGACCACGGAAGGTAATAAAATAATAAAATCTTACTATTTTCATTAGAAATACTTCTTTTATTAAATTTAGGCTGTACTTGCCGGCGATTATATTCTTGGTACCGCTTCAGTTATGCTAGCACGTATTGGGAATCCGGATGTCACTGTATTACTATCTAAAGTCATGCAGGATCTTGTGAGAGGTGCAGTTTTTCTTAATCAAAAAGTTGTGCCGATAAAGATATGAAAAACTTCACTTTAGGCGAATTTATGCAGCTGAATACGAGAGAAAGTGACGATGAACAATTTCAAGATTATTTAAATAAAACCTATTGTAAAACAGCGAGTTTATTTGCCAATTCTTGCAAAGCGGTATGTACGTAAAATAATGAAAACTTTGTTTAAATAATTATTAGTTATTATTTATTTTAAGGTTGCGCTTTTATCAGCATCACAAAAATATGCTGATATTGCCTTTGATTTTGGGCGTAATTTTGGTATGGCCTTTCAATTAATCGATGATCTTCTCGATGTGACATCAACCGCTGACGTTCTTGGAAAACCAACAACAGCCGATCTCAAACTTGGCCTTTCAACGGCACCCGTACTATTTGCTAGTCAACAGGTTACTATATTTGTTAATGTCTCGATAGAAGAACTAAAACTTGCAGAGATCCCTAAATAGTCAGCAAATATAATTGTTATATTTTTTATAGATATTTAAATAATATTTTGTCTTTTCAGTATCCCGAACTACAAAGTCTTATATTGAGACGTTTCTCCGAACCCGATGATATTGAGAAAGCATTATATTTACTAGATCAAGTAATGGTTTGTCTTATCATTATAATGTTTAATAGGATTCATTGTTTTGTGAAAACTTCCAGCCTTTCCCTTCATAAGACGGAAAAATAAAGTTCGAAGTTTAATGAGAGGTTTGCCGAGTTAATACGGGTTTTGCACTCTGTTACACCCACCTCCCTTCCCTGACATTCGAACGGACGGACATTCTATTGTAGAGACTAAGCCAAGTGCAAATTATAATTATAACTTTCGTTGCATTGTGGTTTAATGGAAAGTTTCTGCTACAGTATAATCGCTCGTGTAGAATAAAGTTAGCTAAAAAGCAAAGAATGCAACAATACGGATTGTCTCTTTATTTTTCTATCGAAATAATCATTTTCGTAAATTGTCTTTCTCTGTGATGTAAAGCTGAGACGTTGGCGATGCATTGTTATCAGTTGTTTTATTACTAGTATTAATTTCTTGGAAATTAAAGATAACAATTTTCGCATTTTTGCGCGATAGGGCAACGTTGATAAAGTTTTATATTTATTTTAGAGTGATGGCAAATCTCGAACATACCAGTTAGCTGAACAGTATGCAAATGAAGCTATTAGACAATTAAATGTGTTAACACCAACAAGCCAGTTCATTGACCTTTTAATTCACTTAACTAAGACGATGTTGAAACGTTGTCGGTAGAGTACCATCTTAGGTTATCTATTCAATTTTGTTTTATTTCCGTAACAGTAGTAGATCAATTTTTCTCTTCTCCTTTAGTTAAATTTCCTAATAAAAGAAAAAATAGTTGAAGTCAAATAAAAACTTTTCATTGTTATTTTGTATTATGGATGGAACAAGAAAATGAAGTTAGTTCTTAATAGTCTGATATAGTCACATATTGCTAGGATAGATTACTCGATTACGTAGGCTAGGACTCACAGTTGTTTTTTGGAGTGAGAAGGATAAAATTTTTGGCAGTAAATAGTCAAAAATTTGGAAAGAGAAAATCCCATAGTCCTCTTCTAACGGTAAAACCTAACATACAGACAAACTATTAAATGTATGAGTAGAGAATAGCCAAAGCCTTGCCAAAGCGGTGCCACGACGAAAAGAAAGCAAACGACAGAGTTCTGTTTGACACGCTTTTTACTATGAATATTCAATTGGCATATGCAATTCGTCTAATCTTCAGTCAAAAACTGTCAGTTCAACAAAAAAAGAACTGTTTCTCAATTTTTCTGCAAAAATTTCGATAAAATTATATTTTAAATATAAATTTGAATTTTCTGACATTTAAACTTGATTACCCTTGTAGATCTTTGGAGAGCTTTGTTAAAGTGAATGCGTAATGCCATCAAGATGTCCAACAAATTTCACTGGAATCAAAAATAGATAAGTTTTATTGAACGACAAATGATAGCAGGGACCTACCAGATATATTCTCATTTTCCTAAAAGTATCTTAAAAAAACAGAAACATGTTTTTAGATATTTGAAATGACATCGAGTTCTGTGGTTAAAACCCTACAAGAAATACTTAATGTTCAAATAAAAAGCCAAAAATTTAGTCGTATATTTGATGGAGTAAGTGAAGAAATTTTGTGAGTTCGCTAAATAATAATTTTTCTGTCATAGATTCGAGTTATTGCAGCTGAGAAACCTGGTCGAGTTCAATGTGAAATTGATATTGAAGAAAAACATTTAAATCGAGGAAATACAATGCATGGAGGAATGGTCACTTCACTCGTTGATACTGTTTCCACATTAGCTTTGGAAAGTACTAAAAATCATCCTATTGGTGTATCAGTTGATTTGAGTGTCTCGTACGTTCGTTGCTTTATTAAATACCATTACTAATATCATAAGTAGATTATCACCTATTGCTATTTTTAGATTTTTAAAAGCAGCAAAACCAGGTGAAACCATCATCATTGACGCGGAAACGATCAAACTAGGAAAAACATTAGCATTTTTAAATGTTGAATTGAGAAATAAAAAAACAAATGAGCTAATTGCAACAGGAAAACATACAAAATTTTTAAGTTAAATTGATTCTTCTTTTCTTGGATATATTTGTAAAATGTTTTTTAGCATAGTAAATAGGGATGTGTCGACACAAAATTCGTCTAATTTGCCTAAATATTGTTATAATACTATTTCTTTCACTTAAAATGAGAAAGTGTTAAACTTTAAAACAATAAATCACATGCTGAAATTCACCAAAACTTTTGATTTTTTTTTCATACGGATGCATTGTTAAAATACGAAAAACTTTTTAAAATAAATTCAAACATTGACGAGCTCATTAGATATACCATTTGCCAAAGAATGTAGCATTTGTCGTTTGTGACATAAAAATAATCAAATCACGATCATCCTGATTATATCTTGATTTTAATATACTGGATTCTGCTGAGAGCCGTGTTTATGTTGAAATAAGATACGTAATTAATTCAAAATGTGCGTGAAATTACTTTTTATTCGTTTGTGCTAATTGGATAGAACTCACAAGTGAACTAGAAAAAAAAGTTAATTTACATTTTTTAAACGCTCCTTTCATGTGAAACAATGGAAAACTGTTGACATTTGAAGACAGACAGTAAAAATTCAGAAGTTTGGTTCGTGTTTTACTAATTTTCTAAATCATTTTTCTGTTTAATTTGATCAAACGCAACTTTTTACATTTAGTTTTTCATGATGAATCCCAAAAAGATAGTTTTGAAATTTTTGAAAAACAACTGAGGTTAAAATTTTACTTATTGTTGTCTATTTCCAAAATTTCAATATGTTGACGTTTTTTCATATGAAAAGGACTTTTAAAAAACTAAAATTGACTTTTTTCTAGGTCACTAGCAGAGTGCCATATGGACAGGGATTCTGATTGTTTTTGCGCCAGAGGGGGGGGGGGGGAATAAATGGTTCGGTAACCTAAAAAAAAAAAAGTAATTAAATTCAAGTAGCAAAAATACCGTACATAATGTGCAACCGCCATGTTCGGAA